GGCTGCTAAGCAGGACAGGCAGGTGCGGCAGAAACACCCGGTGGGCGGGATAAATGTCCGAGGCGGGCTGCATGTGACCTACAGGCCGTAGTTTGAGGACATCTGTTTTAGACCCTTTGTACATTTTAGAAATTGAGATATTTGTGTTATTGAGGTATGGCAGTTCTGTATATATTCTAGATATAAGCCTCCATCAGATTTGCAAAAATTTTTTCCCATTGTATGGAACATATTCTTATTTTCTTATTTCTTGGAATACTTTTTGGGCTCCATCCACATTCTCCTTCCATGACACTGATGGCCCAAATGTTAAATCTTTTATTGTAGTACCACAAGTCCCTGAGGCTCTCTTTATTTTTCTCTGGTCTTTTTTCTCTCTGTTCTTCAGATTGGGTACTTTCTATTATTTTATCTTTAGGTTCACTGATTATTTCCTTTTCTCCATTCTGCTCTTAAGCCATCCATGCAATACTTCTATTTTTGTTATTTAATTCAGATCTAAAATTTCCACTTGATTCTTCTTTAGATCTATTTCTTTACTGATGTTTTTTAAATTTTTTTTATATGTTTCAAGATTACATATATAATTGTTTAATGAAGCATTTTTATGATGGCTGCTTTAAAATCCTTGTCATGAAGTTTCAACATTTGTGTCATTTCAGTGTTGACTGCTTTTTCTCATTGAAGTTTAAAATTTCCTGCTTCTTGGTATAATGACTAATTTTGGCTGTATCCTGGACATCTTCGTTATCACATTATGAAATTCTAGGAGTTATGTAAATCTCTTTTAGCAGGCCTCTCCAGGGGTGGGTGGGTTGTAGCCTCATTACTGCCAAATGCAGGTGGAAGTCCAGGTTCCCTACTGTGGCTCTCCTCTGGACCTTTGCTGATATCATTCTATCTAGAAAGAAGAGGAGGAGCAGCCCAGTGACACCATAGTATAGGGAGAAGGCCATGTTAGGCTAGAGCATGGTGAAAGTTCTAAGGCTGTAACATCAGCAGATGAAGATGGGGATGCATTTTTTTTCTAGTGATATTTGGCTGGAGCAGGTAGTCACTATATGAAAAACATTTTTTTTTTAATCTTGCTATTTTACCTTCTGTTCTTAAATACCTAACAAATTTTAAGACATTGAACTTTAGGCAACAAAGGACAATTATCCTTTAGAGATAGGAAACAAAATTATGCTTACTTACTATGTGGAGAAAGTCCATGGCTTTAGGAAGGGTCATCCCATCATGACCTGGTAGCCCCCTTGAGTTGAGGTAATAAAGAGTAGGGAACTAAGGATGGTCAAGGTGGCTAGAGTTCACAAGAGAGAATGCCTTAGAGGAGAGAGCTATGCAGCGATAGAACAGATCTGCAGAGGGTTTCCATCAACTATTCGGTTTCACACTAAACAGTACATTTGTGTGAGGAAACTACTCAAGACCAAAGACCTACCCCACCTAAAAGGATTAGGGAGAACAGTGTGTGGAGCTGAAAATAGTGCCTGTTTTGCACAGCCACGGTGGAAAGCCTTGTAATCCAGATGTCACTGGAAGAGTAACCAATAAGAATTTTGCCTCAGTAGTAGAAATAATAATTCTGTTAAATCAATCTCTGGTCTCAACTTGTAAAGTTTTTTAGATCAAACTGGAACATAGCTAAGCTCTTTCCAAATAACTGTGTTCTAGAACAAAGCTCAAGAATATATGAATACAAAAAACCCATTAAGTTTCTAAGTCTATAGAAAGCTGAGAGTATGTTAATTTTAGATAATGTAAACTTCACAACACCTGGCATCTAATCACTAGACATGCAAAGAACCATGAAAATAAGGCTCATAATGAAAGGAAAAACCAGTGAGAACTGACCCAGGAATGATGCAATGGAAGAATCAGGACATTAAAATCTATATTGTGATTATTCCGTGTGTTCAAAAAGCTAGAGAGAAAAATTGAACATGTTAAGTAGAGGCATGGAAGATATAAAGCACCCAAATTGAACTTCTAGAGATGAAAACTAGTATCTGAGATAAAAAACACACTGGATGGGGTTTACAGGAGATTGAACATCACTGAAGAGATGAATGGGCTTGAAGTCAGCAGTTAAAAGAGTAATAGGGGGAAAAGACTGAAGAAAGGAGGTGAGGGAGGGATTGGGCCTTAGAGAACTGTGAAACAACATCAAGAGCCAAATGCAAGTGCAATTAGTGTCCCTAGTCCTCAAAATACTTGAAGAAATAATGGCTGAATTCTTTTCCAAATTGACAGCAATAAACTCAAGAAATAAATGAAGTATATCAAAAAAATTTAAACCATTGATAAAGAAGAAATCTCAAAAGCCAGAGAAAAAGACGTTTGGGTATAGAGGAGCAAAAGTAAAGATGACAGCCGTCTCATTCAAAACAATGCAAACTGAAAGGGGACCAACCTCTTTAAAGAAAAAAATAGCCAATCTGGAATTCTTTCCTAGTGAAGATATCTTTCAAAAGTGAAGCAAAAATAAGGGGTTTTCTGGACATAACAAAAACTGAAAGAAATAGCCAACAGAGCTCTACAAGAATTGTTAAAGGAAGTTCTTCAAGCAGAAGTAAGCTGGTATCAGATGGAAACCTTGATCTACACAAAAGGATGAACACTGGAGATAACTGGGTAGGTTACCATTGCCTGTGTAAAGGATTGCATATATCTTCTTATTTAAATATCTATAAAACAAAGTTGACAATTTAAAGCAGAAGTACAAACAATGTATTTTGTGTTTTTTAACATGTAGAAGTAAAATGTGTGATAACAATAGCATGAAGTCCAGGAGAGGGGAGAGGAGAGATGGAATTTGCTATCATATGGTTCTTACACATGTAAAGTAAATATAGTATCATTTGAAGGTAGATTGGTTAAGTTAAAGACGTACACTAAAAAACCTACTGTAAAGGAATTACTAAAGTAACAAAGAGTTATTAAGCCAATGGGGGATGAAATGCAATCGTAAAAAGAACTCAGTTTAAAAGACAGAAAAAGAGGAAAAGGTGAATAAGAAACAAATTGGCCAAATAGAAAACAATACACAGGACGGTAGATATAAACCCAATCATATTCATAATCACCTCAAGTGTAAATGGTTTAAACATGTCCATTATATCCAGTTGGTTGATAGTACAGTTGCTTTCAACTGTGTCCTTAACTGATTTTCTTCCTGCTGCATACATCCATTTCTGAGAGGGGTGTTGCTATTTCCAACTATAATAATGCATTCATCTGTTTCTCTTTGAAGTTCTACCAGTTTTTGCCTCATCAGGTTTCTGTTCTGGTAAGTTGTGATTCTCTCTGCTTAGCCTGTCTCTCTATTTGGGGGGGCAGCAGTTTACCCTGTGACCTCACTTGTCTGATGGATCTAAGAAAAATTTGGTTTTTCAATTTCTTTAACTTTACTTCTTGGGATGGCCTGCCAGCTCCTTAAACACTGGGACAGAAACCAGAAGTCTAAACAAGTCAATTAAATAGTAGAAATTACCAGAGTTCATTTTTCAAAAAGCAAGACTCAACTATATGCTGCCTACAAGAAACCAACATTAGCTATAAAGTCAAGCAGGTTATAAATAAGAAGAC